CAGCCCTGCTCAGATCCCCATCAGCACTGCTCAGATCCCATCAGCCCCGCTCAGATCCCCATCAGCAGCACTCAGATCCCTCAGCCTTCTCTCCACCATGCACACAGCCCAGGGCTCATCCTGCCCCATCAGGAGGTGCTCCAGGCCCCACCACCCCACAGCTGGGCTCTGTGCAGCAGTTCCCATCTCCTGGAGCCGGGCGGCCCCGCACTGCAGCACTCCTGATGCGCCCCCCATGGCAGAGCAGAGGGGAGGAGCAGCTCCCTGCCCTGCTGGCTGTGCTCTGTGCAGTGCATCGCAGGGTGCCGGGGGCCTCCTTGGCTACCAGGGCTCGCTGCTGACTTATGGTCAACCATTGGTCAACTGTTGGTCCACCAGGACCCCCAGGTCCTTCTCTGCAGAACTCCTCCCCAGCAGCTCACTGGGTTCCTTGGTGCCCAGCTCTCAAGCTGTGCAGCTCCTCCTGTGTGGCAGCATTACAGCCTTCTGATATGGGAGACCCTCCTGCCTCTGGGCTGGGTGATTTCTGGGACAGTGTCTGGGTTGGGGGTTGTCCCCATTCTCCCCTGACCCTTCCCTGTGCCCCACAGCTGCTCACCTCTGCCCCTCGTGCCCCACAGGTGTTCCGCCTGGAGGATTCCTGCTGCCTGTTCACACTGCAGGGCCACTCAGGAGCAATCACTGCTGTGTACATTGATCAGGTGAGCTCAGCCGGGGTGGGAACCAGGAGAGCATCCCTTATGATGGCTGCTGAGCCAGAGGGGCCGTGCTGCGTGTGGAGAAGTTGGCGTGTGCTCCTCTGAGATAGCAGAGGGAGCGACCCCTGCTGCGGGTTTGCTCTCTGTCCCTTGGGAAGAGGAATGAGAGCAGGGAGTCCTGGGTGGTCCGGGTGGCTCTGCTGCTCTGCGCTTCCTGACCCGGCTCTGCCCCTCACAGACGATGGTGCTGGCGAGTGGAGGGCAGGATGGGGCCATCTGCCTGTGGGATGTGCTGACGGGCAGCAAGGTGAGCCACATGTATGCGCACCGCGGGGACGTCACCTCCCTCACCTGCACCACGTCCTGCGTCATCAGCAGCGGCCTGGATGACGTGATCAGCATCTGGGACCGCAGCTCAGGGATCAAACTCTACTCCATCCAGCAGGTCGGTGGCAGTGGGGGGAAGGAGGGAGGCTGGAGGGTTCCCCAGCAAACCCCACAGAGTGT